ACCGCAGCGCGGAGGCGGCTCTGCCCAGCCTCTGCCTGGGTAGTCCTGCCCCGCTGAACGCCCGGCGGCTCTTTGCTGTGGTTTGCGTGTAGCCTGAACGCGGGGAGAGACGGTTCAGGTGCTTCTGTTCGGCTGTTCATGCTATCTGCGTGCACCTGCGAACTTTTTAAGTTAAAAAAAAATGTTGAACAGTGCTCTGTAGGTGTGTATTTTCTGCTCTTTTCTGCTCGCTTTGAAATTCTTGGCAGTAATCCAAGAATCATAGCTTGCTTTGTAATGAAATTATCTTCTGGCACGAGTTAAATAACAACTGTCTGGAGAGTAATCTTGTCTCACATGTGATGTTCAGAACGCGGATGAAGGGCATTATATCTACAGCATCCTCTTTTGGTCCAGGCATTACAGCAGTCAGTATAGTTATTCACTTTACAAAGTGTTTATTTTTTGCCCTCGTCTGTCACTACCAGCCTTTTTTTCCTTGGTTTTAATTTCAGTAATAGTGTTAAGCCTCATTTTTGTAAACCTTCCATGTGCACAGTCCGAATTACAGCCAGTATGCTGGAGTTATAAAAAAAAAAACCCAAACAACAAATGCCAGGTGATAGTGCAGAATGAAAGTTCAGATTGTTTTGGTGTTACGGATTTTGTACGTAGTCATAAGCGTATTGGGTACTGTTGAAGAACACATGCTTGTGTGATATTGCTGCTAGGAACAACTAAGAAACAGTTCATGAAAAAGAAATATTGGTAATCTTAAATGCAGAAGAAATCATTGTAAATATAGCTTTTGTCACTATTTTTTATCAAAATGATTAAATTTCATGTTAATTTTCTTGCTAATGGAGATATCATTTCTTATGATAAAACTTATTAATATACTTCTCTGTTGTGTGCTGTATGTTCAGCATCCAAGGTCTGTATCAAACAGTGTATGCTTATATTGCTATAGGACTGTTCTGTGGTAGAGGAACTTTCAAAGCCTGTCACATGACACTGGGCCTCATAATCAGTAACACCTACTGCTGTTGGTTTAAAACCAGCACCATGTCCTTTTTATTGTATATTTATATTTTTTGGGGGAGTAGGTTTTTTTAGTTTTGGTGGCTTACTACGTAATTTTTGTACTTGTATTCAGAATAAGCTACTGGCAAATTGTGGTAGCATGGCTTCCTTGATGATACAAGCATTTTTTGTGATGTGCCTACTGAGTTGGTATGGGTAATATAATTACACATGCAGAAGTTTGAACAGGTTTTTTTTTGGTAGAAAGTAAGGTCACATTTAGAGGCTGTAACTTTCCTGGTTATACTACTTGTTTTCCTGTTTTGTCAGGGAATCTCTAGGATTCCTTCCTGTATGGTTAGTGGGTTCCACAGTCTCTTTTGAAGTGATTTTGAGGAGAATGTATTTTGAAGATTACTTTTCTGAATATTTATTCTGGTGGGGGCTATCACCACTAGTGACATATGTTGCTTAGCTATAATCCTCTGTTAGGTACTATGGATGCCAGTTACATTTTATCAGTTAGATTTTGCTACCAAGGATGGGACATGCTGCTTCTGAAATATTCCAGATCTTACTATCCTGTAATTGGACTTCTGCCTGGCAGCGGATTTTGATGGTACTGGGCATTTGCCCTGCGACTTAGCTTGCTGCTCAGAGATGAATTTGAAGGTGGGGTGGATGACATCAGAGTGCAGCAAATACACAGTACAGCCCGTTCAGAAACCTGAATACATGGTTTAGCTTAATCCCAAGGGAACTATTTCATAATTCTTACTAAAAAAACCCAACCCCCAAATATGTAAATTAATTCAGCTTAATCTTTGTAAATGGGGGCAACGAGGAAATGGAATAGAACAGATATTGCTTAACAGGATGGAATTACGAAACTATCAGGATAATCATCAAGTTACTGTAAGATGCAGGGACCTGCATCTAGGCAGAGCTATTTACTTGGTAACTGCTGCATCGCTGAACATACCAAGGATGGGAGAGAAAATGTGGGTGTAGGAAGTGGAAGGTCTTGACTAATGTCGTGAGCATGTCATGAGAACAGCACGATTTTCCTGGATTCTTGTTCAGTCAGTGCTCTTCCTGTCCAGCCCTATTCTTCAGGTATGCTGATATACCAGATTTTAATAACCCAGATCAAATGCCGATGGCCGAGGTAACCAGAGAATGAAATAAATAGCAGTGACATGATCTGGATAGCTAGCTGGTAGGAGGCAGACTTCTAGCTGATGTATTCGAGACAGAGCAGAGATGAGATTTTGTTTCCAACCTCCTGTGCCACATCGATTGTTATTTAATTTTTCAAATGTGGTCTGTAAGATGTGTTTTCCTTTTGGGGACTGCAGATTCAATGCATTAAGGTTTTGGAGGGGAGGCTGGTGTTTGCTTTTGAACCAGGAGGAAATGCAGAGGAGTGATTTGAAGCAATAGTGTTCTTGAATTGCAGCACACTGGTGGAACAATAGTTACCTCTGTTTGACCTCTTCAGGACACTGCAGGCTTCCCAGGCACTGTCACCTTTCTGAGACAAAGGGTGATTCCTTCTAATTCAAAATATTTGTCTATATGCACAGATATAATATAAATATTTCCCGTCAGTTCAGGGAATTTCTTATCTTGTACTTTCTGCTGCTGGAGCATTCCACAGGTGTCAGGTCAGAACCTGCTCCCAGGCAGATCTGAGCATCCAGTAAAAATACGGAACTGGACTGGTTTTGCAGAGTTTTGAAATGCTTTTGGTATCTAAAGTATCCAGAGTAATTTCTGTGAATGTTGCTGCTTAAATCTAAAGACTAGCTTGAAAAAAATCATGGGTAACTAGCTCACCAGGTAGCTCTTTCGAATTGAGCTCAAGTTTATTGGTATTTTGAAAGAACTCTTTAGTGTTTGATGGGGAAAAAGAATTCTGTCTCTAACAACAACTTCAAGATGTTTTTGATCTGTTTAGCATAACAGACTGAGACATCTTCGGTGCATGTTTATTTTTAATGTTTTTATTTTTTAAAAAATATTGCTCATTTTGTTTACACTTGTGACTCAGAATACGTTTTTACCTGGGGAACAAAAGCCAGGAATATGTCCTTTCATTAGACCTTACCTTTGTGGTGAATTCTATTCCTGTAATTCACACAAAATTCACAGCCGTTGGTAGTAAAGATACTGCTTTGTGAATACTTTGTCCCAGTTAAATGATGCTCACAAGTCTTGCATAAGCCTGGAGGTTTCGTGTGTGGTATTTTTTTAGCACTCCTCTAAGATAGACCAAGGTACAGCTGTGACATTATTGTCTGTTTTAAATAAAAGGCTGTGTAACTCCCATGGAGATGTGAAGATAGGTTTATGGAAATGGCCCCAACTTGTAGCTAGGAGTGAACACTTACTGACAAGTAGGTACTCAGCAGACCTCTTTCACATGCTTCAGAGGCTATGCATCTTCTCCCACTGGAGTGCTTGGAGATGCTGAGAATTGTGGTTGCTTATCTTCCTGGGTATTTGTTTTGAAATACTTTTCATTGGTTTCTTTTAAAAAGCTGATAATTACTTTCTGTAGCTGGGTTAGCAGATACACCTTCAAGACAAGACGTTCTTGCTGCCTGTTAGCATGTGTCTGCAATGGTGCTGTCTAATCAGGAGTAACATTTAGGGATACGTGGAATGGCGGGTACTTGGACAAGGCTTGTTTCTGGGTTTGTGCATAGAACCTTTAACTTAAGGTCATTTTACTAAGCTGCACTTTACGAAAGTAAGCCACAGCTAGTAGCAGTTGATAATAATAATAATTGTTAAAGGACTTTGAACAAAACATAAGTATGCTAATTAAAAAAAAAAAGCTTAAAATAAGAGATAGTAAATGGATATCTTGGAAGAACTCATGCAAGTAAGAGGAAGAGAGCATTTCTAGGGGATCCAAAGCAATCCCCTAAAGTAGAAAAGTGAGAGCCAATGACAAAAAAAATTAACTGAATGACCTCTAGGAGCTTCTGCATTACTTTGCACAATAAGAAGTGTTTAAAGAAAGTCCTAGGTGAGTGTTGAACATGAAAAGCTTGTGCATATGTTAATCTTTCTCAGCAGTATTGTTCAGGGTTGCTTAGTGGCAGAGCCAACTCAACGAAGTAAGAGATGGGAAAGACAATAAGAAATAGTAAAAGGTGATTTTTATTTTTTTTTTTTTAAATAAGAGAAGGAACGTTTTACAAATTTAGTAGGAAAAAAATTGATTGTAAGTAGAAAAAGAGGAAGGGATCTTTAAAGATTCGTAGAAGCTTGAACTTTAGAAGGATAGAAGATAGTAAAAAAACACGCAGTCAACTACGTGTTTTAGCATACTGCAATGATTGTTTTTAAAGTTGGGTCAGCAGAATGAGATGCAGGAAAAGGGAGAATTATTTTAAGTGGTGTTTTCATGGATAGAAATGGCCAGAAATGAAAAGGGATGAAGCTACTGGGGTAGCTAAGCAACTATTGAGACTAGTTTTGGAGGAGAGAATGAAAAAGGAAGAGTGATGTTACAGAATCATAGGTAGGAAGCAGTTAGCATCTTATTTTTGCTATGATTTCCATATCTTAAAAGTGAAACGTTTGCTCTTCATGGAAGAGAACTAGAGAGAGTTCAGTCTTGGGAAAAATGTCTTAGAGAAAACTACTTGAAGAATGAAAGAAAAGATAAACCCTGTTTGTAGCATAAAGCTTCTTTTTACTGGTGCCATACAGTAATAAAAGCCTTTGGGAACAGCAGTTTGTGAACAAAACTTGTTAATGCAAGTATGGCATAAAATAACATCTAATGACTTTCAGAGACAGAAGAATGAGGAGTTTTTCTTATTTGGGGAAACAGCAGTTACTAGATTTTTGGAAGTCTTCACTGTTTCCATGATCAGCTTTTTGATCTCAATTATCTGCCTAATTATTCTTGTTGCTACTGTCTGA